CGATCTTTGTATTTATATTTTATAATTCAATTCTGCGGTGGAGAGTCTGTCATAAACATCATTCGAGAACCATATTTCAGATTAATCATTGGAAACGAGTAAATCAACTAGAATTACGGAAGGACAAGCTGTACAGTACAACAGTTAGAAGAAATAATAGGCAGAAAATACCAGATTTAGCTGAATTAAGTGATAATGACACTGATATCGATCTTCCAGAGTGGAGAAGTAAAGGGATTTAATACCATTCTTCTGTTTGCCTTTTTTCTTTAAGCATTTCTATATCTGCGTAGAAACACGGATATAATAGATGCTAAGCAAGAAAAAAATGACTTGAGTACTTCAGAATACCAAAAATATCGGAACTTACATAAATGATTCTATCTCCTTACGCATTTTATGATTTGGAAAAAAAAAATCAAAGAGCCTTTAGCCTAAAAATCTGTGAGCATGTTTTCAAAGTGAGGAGTAAATAATAGATAGCTCACTCATATTGTCGAAAGCACAGAGAAAATATCAAACGATTAAAATTATTTATTTGCATATGTAACGAAAAGATATTTGAAAGAGCCAATTACATCATCTGATATAATTTTCAACAAAAAAACTAAAAATATTTTCTTCCAACAATAATATTCAAAAACAAAAAAAAAACTAAAAACTGTAAATGTATATCTTAACATGGATCTACTCAATCTAGCCATCACAGACTATGTAATTTAGTCACTAATGCTATATTGTACAGTAACACTACAAATTCCAGATGCAGAAATTTATAGAATAGAAAATTTATACATAGTTGTTCTTTTTTCTAACCAGATTGAAATAGCAAATATTTTCGCTCATAAGACATAATTTTTACTAAGAAATAAACAGCTTTATTCAGAGAACATAGCGATAGCAATATAACAATATATACAAGATAATGTCCATGAAGAGATCGAAAATGAGGCTGCTGAAACCTTTAAACCTAGAAACTAAAAAAAACAAAAACAAATAAACTGAGCACTTAACATGGATCTACTTAATTTTCCATCGCAAAAACAAGTACGCAAAACTACCAGGAACTAAACACTGTACCTGATAGTTTGGAAAAACAGAATCGGTCACTAGTCACTAAGAATTTCTCCTTCGGATAATTCACTTTCATCAATGGGTGGTTTGGCAACTTTTTCTTGTTTTGGGGGTGATTTTGAGCGCGATTTCACACGTACGTGGGGTGGTGATTTCTGAAATATGTTTGACAGTGGTGACTTTTGCCGAATAGGACTACGACGTCGAGGAATTTTCTCTTCTATAGGTGAGTTTCGTCGCAAAACTGATTTGCGTTTTTCTTCCCATTTCCGAGGGGGTGAAAAGGCACGCATAAGAGGTACTGGTGCTTCTGAACGTATTAATGGCATCGGCTCTCGTTTTTCTCTTCTTTCTTGTGGAGAAGGACCTTCTATCTGTATACGTCTTTCTTCTAATGCCCTGAAAATGATAACACCGACTAAGCATTTTTAATTTCACAACATAATATAGACATCTATTTACTGCTTTCAGCAATGAATCACGTTCCACCAAACATTTACCGCCTCATATTTTGCATTGCAGTAATTTCCCGTGCTAAAAGGTTCATTTCGTTTTCTTGCATATCCGTATGAGTTAAGCGAGTTCTCATTCTAAGAGCAAGACGAACAAAAACAGCACGCAGGTCTTCTACACAATAATTTTCCAAGTCTTCTTCCGTTACCTTCTCCATAACATCCAATTCTAAGAAACAGACTTTTTCAAAAATATCAAGAGATAACAAATAGCAAAAATTACGCTTATTACCAAGTCACTGGAAAATAACTGATTATCTATCATTTTTCCATTTACTTCACGAAATAAAAAAACATGCCATTGACTATAGCACAAAGCGCAGATTCATTGACTGATATTAATTTTGGTGCAAATTTTGTAGAATTTGCTTGCATCCAAAGCTCGCTGTCCTTATTATGCTTCGCAAGTAGCAGAAACGGATCTGTAATAACTTGATGATTTTTTTCACATCTTTATACAAAAACAATTATTCTGTCAAGAACAAATCAAGGAGCAGGCAGTAAAATTAGTGGTAATTTATATTAAAGTATTCGAATTGTTGTAGAAAAAATAATGGAAGAAAAGGAAACAAGGTTGCCAAGTTAATTCTTCAACCAACATTATTTCTAACTGTTCCTTTAAAATATAAAGGGCGAAAAGCAAAACACTAACTTGCCCAAAGCGCAGTGAAGTTATCAGGATCCAAAACATCAAATGGATAAATTGATACATAATTTTCGGTCGGTGACTCAGATCCAAGGACCTTTAATTACGAAATGTTTGGTCGACAAGTTACTATAGGTTATGAATAGCACAAAATATCTGTTTCAATGACATACCGCCTCAACACCGATTTGTAGTTCAGGAAGCTGTTGAGGGAAAACACCGCGCAACATGAAATCACGTCTTATTTCCATTAAAATTAATCCTAACCGGTTCCCGCCTAAATATGGAGGGCGAAAGGCCAAAGGACGAGTAGTCGAATCGAACAGCTGTAAAACAAGTCATCACATAATATGCTCTTGATAATAATTTATAAACAACTGCGGTTGATTCACAAATAAGATAGCGTTTATATTACAAAGACTGTCATTAATTACATCTTGCATTAGTTAAACTACATTTGAGCTCTTTCTGAAGAGTCTCTTTTCATTGCTGTACTTTTTCAACATACATTTCTAAATGCACATGCATTTACTTGATATGCGCATCAAATTTATAAATGATAATGTTTTTGCATAATCTCAAAATGAGCTAAAAAGAGTAGATTTAATAATTGATAAAAATACATTTTTGGCGGTATAAAAAAATGGACTTAACAAAGACCTCTAAAGTCAAATTTGTAAACAAAACAATTAAGAGCCTTTTGTTACTTGAAAAGTCACTGTGTGCCCTATCTAGTATCTTTGATATACCTTGAGATGCTTCTCAAAATAAATCGTTTTTGACTACTAAAAAAGCCATTACTATAGAAAAATATGTAAGCTACATAATTTGCATCGTTAAGTAGGAGAAATATGAGCAATATACATTAAATTACGAAATTACCCATCTCTGAAAAAATGTTTTCTCTTCTTTTTTCGATCACCTCTTGAAAAAATTAACAAATGAAAGTGATATTTCTTCTGAGAGACTAATTAATTTATCATTTAACAATTTCATTGCTTATATTTCATTTTTATTACACTTAAAGTTTAAACCTCATGCAAATAAAAGCAATTAAGAATACATGCATAAATATTTTGAAATTATATGTTTAATCACGGCTTAAAAACAACCTGTTTCGTATCAATATCAATTTGTCCAAGCCAAGCACGCAAATCTCGTTCTCTCATGCCGATAGTCAGCTCAGCTTCAAGTGATGAATATCTTGAGCAGTAAACCAGCAACGCATCTCCCGTATCTAACAATGCTCTCATTAACGGGGGATGCTGTTCGAACATCATGATTAAAGCAACCTTTATTGCACGCTGACGTTCATCCATGTACCAACCCTACATGATTTATTATTGAAAAAAATAAAAAAGGATAAAAAACTACAAAAAATAAAACACACAACTATACAGTGAGGTATAAAGTAACTATGATTCACACAGACCACTCAATACTGAAGTTAAAATAGTGGTTTGAATCCATCAATAGATAAATAAGTATATTCATCAGAAACTTACAAAGCACGCTTTCATTTATTTTTGGTCATAAATTAATCGGAAAACATTCTCACCTGAAGTTTGTCTAAAGATGGGTTACTTAATTCAATTGCTTTATTAATCCTATGCCAACACTCCATACTGTGAGAACTTTCGTTTATATAAGCAGCTTCCTGAGCACAAATACCGAAGTATCTGCAAATTTCATATCAATACGCTAAATACAATTTGATCCATCCATGTAAAATTAAGAGATTCTCAAGTTTTCTTTTCATGTTCATGTCAAAAATATAAAAATTTGTTTAACAAAGTATAGTTGCACAAATGACAAATGGTGATACCAAAAAATAAAGTTAGAAATAGAACCGTACTATTCTTTTCACCTTATAGCCTGTCTAGCTACATAATGAGCTGGTGACGGTAACGTTTCTGGCAAATTCGGAAGACGAATTTGCGCTGGATACAAAAAATGGAAAACACTCTCAGCAGTGAAACATATCATGTGAGCTGATAATAAAGTTCGTAATTCCATAGCTGTTGTTAGCGGAGACACTAATGGAATACGGTTCTGTGTTGCACACAGAGCAGAAAATTTAGAACGTAGTTCCATTAATAACAATCCTGTTTTATTCCCCTGAAAATTAAGTATTAAACATTTAACTTAGCTGCAGTAAAGCATTAATTGAGGAACAAAACAGTTTCCAATTTTATAGAGTATAAATGGAAAAAATCATCGATGTAACTAAACAAAATTACCAACAAATGGCTATATTAAAGAAGGTATAGAATTGTCACACAAGTCGAAATATGAAGTGCTATTGCTGACAGTGAAACAAACTTTGATGTGAGAAAGAGCTGATGGAGGTTTTGTTCGCTCTGTCATCCAATCAATGATTGTGACCGGATGAATATACCGTTTTGTTAATAAATGTTGCAACTCGAATTCATCAGCACTTGATGCCCATGATTTGTCACCCTCAGAAGTATCAAGCAACAAAGCATGTCCGGTAGAAAGGAGTAACTGTTGTAAACCTTCGTTCTTGGTCATCTTAAATGAAAGAAAATACTGTAACTAGTGCTCTCCAAATCTTTACATCTGAGACTCCAAGGACAAAGAAAAACACCTTATGTTTCATAGCCGATTGACGCCACCGATCCAAGCGACCTATCTTTGACTCCACAGCTCCATTACTGAGCTGTAAAATGATGCATTAAATAAATACTTAACATTCAAATAGCGAGTAACTATATTTAAGATCTGGCTTATAAACACTAGATTTTTGAAACAATTCAGCTTATCGCAAAATTTCGCAAAGTAATTGAGTATCAAGCATCATCAACTGGAGTTTGACGAATAAACAATATATATTATTTTATTCACGGCAGTAATTAGTTAAACCAGAAAACAGAACTGTTTCATCAAAAATGATGATGATGAGAACAATTTGAAAAAAAAGTATCATTCTATTAACAAATTTACAAAAAAAAAATTACAAAATAAAACGAGAGTACCTTTTGTTGCTTGAAAACTCGTTTTGCAACAAGCGCAACGTCAGTTGGATTTACAGTAGTCCGTATTTTTTCTGTAAGATTGCAGTTTCAAAGAACTAACCCAAACTACGAAAGACTGAAGAGTCATAAAAGCAACAGTGCATAATCCGGAACAACTTCTTTGAGGCAAAAAATTTCTCACTAACCAATGCATTTGTCATCAAGACGAAGAGCGTCAAAAAGTCTCTGATAAGCATAATGTTCAACTGATCTATATTTTTCTCCCTTCATATCAAAAGAAAGGGCGTAGAAATTACTCAAAGGACGAAAGATTCCCTGTAAAAAGTTTGAAAATCACAAATTTTTCAGTGAATTTATTTTCAGTCACGAAAAATGCTGAAAAATTTACTTGCAGTGCGAGAACCAAATCTGAAGTCGTTGTTTTTACTGCATCCCCATTTTGATCAACAGAAATACCATTAACTTCAATAGGCTGCGTACTTAATAGGGTGGCTCTTCTTTTTTCAGCTATTTCATATCTAGAAAAAATTTTATCAATTCTTTTTCTTTTTAGATTGTTTTAAGACTGTTTAAGTTAATTGCTGGCATCCTTTTTTACTGATAAATAATATATCAAAGGAATATACATGTATGGCAAATGACAATAACATATAAAAGCAGTTTGCCTCAACCACATGAGAAAATATCCTAATTGATTGTTGCCTAACTGGGGTGGCCGGGTTCGTTCATTACGCATCCAACGTCCCAGTGTTATTAGGTCAGCTTTTTCCTTTGCCATCCACTCCACAAAAGTATCCTCATCCATACCAACTCCAAGTTCACTATCACGTGCATCACAAACAATCAACAAAGCATCGTTGGTATCCATTAGAGCTTTTTCAAAAGCTTCAAAAGAAAATTATACAGGCAGAAATTACCATTATGGAAAACAAAAAGATTAAAACAATTATTCAAATTAAAATATTAGAGCCCTACAGTGTTATAATTTTTCAAATACCTGCATCTTGTTCCACGCGTATCCTTAGTCCTTGCATTGTATACGACTGGCGGCTTGTTTGTAAATAACTGGCTAAGGAATTCATATCATGCCCTGCGGGCATATTTTCTTGCAGTAACTGCCGAGCCTTTAAAAAAATGGAAGACTGTATCCACAATGTAAAATATGGCTTTCGTTAACACATAAAAGCGACATCGATTAGCTATAAATATAAGAAAAAAAAACCTTCACAGGAACATCTGCACTAGATGTGCACAAAAGTTCTAAGATAAGAGCTTCATCCAAGCCCAATTGTGTAAGAATCATTGCATGAGCGTAATGATCTGCTGATGGATATCTGCAATTTAAGGATCAACTTACATGTCCATCAATACTCAAAAATTCTGCACATTTTATAGTTCAATAATGCAGTAGACTTTACCTTTTGCCGCCATCACTTAATGTATGACTATACCCACAATGTAAAATATCGCTTTCATTACCGACCAGTATTATCTTCCCGTCCTCCATTATGAATCTAAACTTTAAAATAAAACCACTTTATAGAGTTGTGACAATAATCTAAACACTAAAATCATTAAACAACTCAAAAAGGGCAATGTAAATCAACTGAATAGTAAAATAACTCAACTCTTAGGGTAATTAACACAACAGCTTCGGCAATTGTCTATTTCAATATACTAAAATATGACTTTCCTTTTCATCATTACGAGAATGTACATTTTTCTGGTTCATAACAAAACTGTAACTACATACACGAATCTATTACATCTTTATCTGAATACATTACTCATCATAAGCAACAACAACTTTAAAGAGACGCAACACTGCTTAACCATAGCAACTACAAATTTTTTGTGATCAAGACAAAGAATAATGAAGAACGGATTAAGGAGAAGAAAAAGGTTGAAAGTTAAATGAATTGGTAATCACAAATGATGTAAAAAGTTTTGAGTGTCATGAAATTATAAGTATTGAGCATTTGATTTGGACAGCAAACGAGTAAACAAATGAAAATTTCAATAATCTAAAAGACATGAATAGTGAGTAAAAACAAAAGTTTGTTATATTTAATGCATAACTAAATAAAAGTTCATAATAATGAGAAAATTTAGGAAATGCTGATCAAAAAAAATCAGTTTCGTACAAAAAAATTATAAATTCTTGCAATCACCTGTTTCGCAAAACTGCTACATTTGATCAACAGCATTTAAAGCTCTTTGCAGAGGTTTTTTCAAAACATTTCTAAATAGATTATTACAAATGACGGTATTCACAAACCTTTTCAAACAAATCTGGAACAACACTTTTCATTGTTTCCTGGAAACATTAGTGGATTAAATTTAGGCAAAATGTGCACCTTAATTCTGCTTTTAAATTATGTGACAAATTTTGCAGACAAAATTACTGGAAAAAAAGAGAAAAAATTAGCAGGAATTAAGAACACGAATGCCTACAGCATAATAATGAATAATAGAGTTCCAATCAAATTTTAGCAGGATGTTTTCATAACTTTCCTTCAACTTCACCACGTTGGTAAGAATACTTCTTCAATGTAGCATAAAGCTTTCACAGTTTCCTGTAAATAGGTTCAACACAATATAATAAATTTAATCTAAAACTTCTAGTTCTGGGTTAAAAACGATAAATGAAAAATTGTGAGCAGTATAATTTGTGTCGAAATATTAAAATGAAAAAACTGAAAAACGAAGAAATGATGCTAAAACTAAACTTACTTCACAGTCATTACCGTTACTTTTTCCAGCAGCAATATTTTGCTGCTAGAATTGCAAGCTGTTTCAATAAATGAAAGATGGTATTGATGAAATATCAGTACCTGTAATATAGAATTAATATATATACAATTTTTAACAATAGACACGATTAATCAATGGACGGATAATAGAGAGCACAGATAATCCTCATAAGGACACATATCTGAGTAAGTATGAGAATAAATTAAAACAGTTTTTTAATTCACTTGATACTTTGAATCGACTGATTTCGAAAAAATCTCAGTAATATTTCCTGATAGATTTATACCAAATCATAAAGGTAGAAAATTGACTTGAACTAAACAAAATACTAAGCTTATTGTAGCTTTTGGAATTTTCACCGAAAGATAAAAAAGAATAATCGCATTTGGAACCCAAACCCTACTGGAATTTTTCTTCACCAATTTTGAATGTGAGGTCCTTCCAATGAGCAAAATAAGCTTTAGTGTGTTTCTGCTTGTAACTTTCTCTTAATTGGACGTTTTTCTTGGCGCATAATCAAAATGAAATAAGTAAACAGTTAATTTTTTATTTGGCTTTTGAACTTGTTTTAATATTTTCAACAAGTTTTTTACACGTTTCATATTAAGCAATCAAATAAATCATTCTAACTTTTTGCGTTTGTTTAAATTTTAAATGCGAAATATGAAATTACTCTATAATTACTTCACAAATTATGAAATTATTTATCGTATAATTTTAAAAATGTTGAAAGTTCGATCTCTGACATTAACAAATATGAATTTTTGCTACTGTTAAGTAATTTAGCAGTTGTTGAAAAATTTTGCAAAAATTTCATTTACAATTTGATAACTTTTTCTTCAACAGTTATTAATATTTTTGTGATCAGTAGTAAACAGTGATAATGCATATTAACTAATAGTGTGTTAATGTCCAAAAATATACATTTACTTGCTAATTTTTTGCAAATAGAAAATAAGCCAAAATTGTATATACTGTAGAAAGGTAAAATATGTACATATATGCAGTTATATAATAAGAATATATATGAGCATAACATAAATGTATGCTTATATATATATATATATATATATAT